TAATGCTATAAAAAATTTTAAAAACACCAATTTTCAATCCCCGACAACGACACCAAAAACTTGATCGCTTGTATAAGTGTGTGTTGTGGCACACAAATTTGTGTAAGTGTACACAATTGATGCAAGTAATATATCAGTAAGTGAATTATCGTCTCCACATGGATGTGAAGGATTTTAAAATATTGTTACATCTAGTAATATGTGTAACTAACTAATCCTAAGTATTTAAGTCTAATAATATAAACAATGAAAGTATGAACTAACAAATGGTATGACCAGATGGAAAAAGTTTGGTAGAGGCAAGAAAAATTGTAAAGTGAAGAGAGTAGAAAAGTTTTGTCGAGGCAAGAAAAATATGCAAAGGTAAACAAATAAAAAGTTGTCAAGGCTAAAGTTGTCAAAACTCTATAAATAGACTGGAAACCTCACACAATCATACTTCTAATAAAGCACTTGGGTCGGATTTACTATGACGAGAAAATATTCTATGTCTAGGATGATCTAATATTTTATACCTATGTTTCTCGACAGGATTTACTAAAGTGTTCCTAAGAGTATCTCTAACACGAAACCTGACAAACTATTGCTACGGTAATACTACTCAACGTAAACTATAGCCTTTGGTTTGTTAAACTGTTGTTGCGGCAATACTCCTCAACGTAAATTGTAGCGATGGGCTATCTTCTCAAGCATTTATCTTTTTTAGTCGAATAAAACCCTCTCATTATCTCTAAGGCAGATTAGAACCTCGCCATCCCGAATTAGTTCCCTTGTTCACGTAGATCTAACCTAACTCTCTCGATATTTGGTATCAACTCCTAGAAAAATGGCAATCTCTCGAAAGCTCTTACAAAGACTAGGAATGTTTTTCCATGGCACTAGGCAATCTCTCAAAAGCTCTTACAATGTCAAGTCGAAAGATTAAAACCGTGAACAAAACAACATTCAACTAAAACATACTTTAATAATTCATTAACATTAAAATAAAATATCATCCAAGCATTTCCAGCACCAAATAAAATAATTTATGGTGTGGTTAACATCATCCCAAAAATCAATCTTTAAGTACAAGCCCTTAAAAAATAAGAAAATGAAGACAAGAGGAAGAAAAAACTCCCAGAACAGAGCTTTTCTGTGACATCAGACCACTACCATGACAGCTCTAGTGCACCAGCCTCTCTCGAGGGCCTGGCCGCTGCTCCGACGAATCCTGGCTATGGAGGACACCAAGGACGGTCGAGTGGGGAACGGTGGAAAAAGGATGTTGCGCCCACCTTTTTCCAAGCATAGGGTATTTTCTCTATAAGATTCTGAACACTTATGAAGAGTTATAATGGAGTATTTATAGTGGGAATTTCTAGGGTTTAGTGCCCTTGGAAATTCCCTAAATACCCTTTAAGTTAAACTATTTTTTTGAATAACATAGTAGTTTGCGACGGTCTCAAATTCCTTGATGAGGACATGATTGCACATTAGGTATATTGGACAGCTGGCCATGTGTCATCAGTAATTTTGTCTCGTACTGCGTCAGACTGGCGAGATAAAACTCGCCTTGGCAAGAAAATTTGTTCCTTACTGTCATTGTCTTCTGTTCCATTGGCCCTAGCAATTTAATTTGTCTCCGCAAATAAATTCTTCCTCAGTCATTTCCTGCATCATCACAATCAACAAATAACATTTCTCATCAGCAGTATCAGTTCAATCAAATAAACTTTGCCTCGGCAAAACTTATCCACCACATGAAAATATGTCCTAAATGCAACTATATGCAGCTAAAATGCTATGTTAATGGTTTTTAGACAATCAATAACTTAAGTAAAAAGACCTAAAATATTTTTTTTACAGAGTTATCAACATCATAATCCAAGAACATGTTTTTCTAGTATTAAAGCAACATTGGTGTTAATGTCGATAGGCTACATTAATCCAAACAAGGGCTAAATTCCAACGATTGGCTTTGGAAAATTAGTTCACCAGAGAGAAGAGTAAGTTACAAGGGTTGGGCCTTGTAGACTATAACTGACAAGTATCCGGAGTAAAATCTATTTCAGTGGTCAAGACGAATTGAGGCGAAGCAAAGTTGGAGGTTATCTCTCATCATAATTGTTTTTAATATTTTATTATTCTTGCATTCTTTATTTATTTATTTATTTTTTATTTATTAAATTTTTTAAACCCCTTTCTTTATTTTTCTTATAGGTTTCTTGGTTAAAGATCGATTCAAATCGACATTGGCAATTTATAAATCCATGTCACTATACTACGTTTATAGCTTATTTATTCGAGAAAAAGTCTTATTTATTTGACAATTACATCACTTGTCATTGTCACACCCCAAAATAGGGTTAATTGTAACCATTTAAAGTTTTGGTGTCATTGGGTGAGTTCTCTAAAAATGCAAGGACTTTTATTGTAATTTGGCCAAGCCTAATATATTCAAATGCCACTATTTGTTTCGCTCTCATTTTCCACCCATATATTTTTAAAAAAAAGACACACACACATATTTTCTCTCCCTAACTTACCCATGTCAGGTTTTGGTCATTTTACCGTCGACATGGATGACATCACCGATGTCAAAATGTTTAGCTCAATATTTTTGTCTTACCGATTGTCACGCCTTCTTCACCTCCGTCGTACGTTTGCAAGATGGCTAGAGGAAGCGTTTTAGTTTCGTAAAAATGACATCACCACCATTCATCGTCGCAAACCAACTCCGATAAGTGACTCCCCAAGCTTCAAAATGATTTTCTGGAAATTTCGGTTGAATTCCGACTGTCGGAGGACCCTCTACGTGCTGTCATACGCGTGTGAGACTGGTCCAGCGGTTTATAGCTTTCAAAACTGACTGAATTGGTTAGCTTTAGACCGAACCGGCTGGACTGGTCTGATTGACCCTTTGACTTTGACCAAACCCATCTCGTTGACGTTGACCCACTCGTTGATCGTTGGTTGTTAACTTTTAACCATTGACTTTGACTTTGACTTTTAATCATTGACTTAGACTTTGACCCGTTGAATTTTTTAAAGACCTCTATCTTAACGTTTTTCGATGTCCTACGTCTGTTTCAGCAATCCGTTTTGTAGAATTCTGACTCGAACGTCCTATTTTTGCGTATTTTAGTACTTTATAGTATAGTTATGTTAAGTGAATTATGAAATTTATGATCTTACTTTCTGATATTTTATTCTGAAGGTGGTCAAATGTCTCTGCACTGTTCCCCAATAATTCTAAATCACCTCTATATACTAATCTTGACTTTGCACGTTCGATTCGAGATACATCTTCGTTCTGCATGACCTGATACTATTGTTCGTGAAAATTGTAAAGCTTAGCTGGTATATGTTAACTGGTATAGGTGTGTTCTTTTGACATGTTTGGTACATTTAATATTTTATGCTATTATCTCACATGATGATATATGTAACTATATTCTTATTCTGATTACGTTTACCTCTGATATGTCTGATTTCTGTTGAATGTTGCATCACATTGAGTCTGTGTATTGACACATTTTTTATTCTGCATGGGATCCTCTACGGAGGGCATAATCCTTGTCCTGTTTATGTATGGGATCCTCTACGAAGAGCATAATCCCCGTTTTGATTCTACATAGGACTATGTTCCCTATTCATATTCTACATGGAATTATGTTCCCCGTCCTGATTCTGCACAGGACTATGTTCCCCGTCCTGATTCAATATGGGACTATGTTCCCCGTTCTAATTCTGAATGAGATTATATTCACGTTCTGATTCTACATGGGACTGTTTGAGATCCTCTTCGGAGGGCTAGATCCACATCCTAATTTCTATATTCTTGCTCGGATACCTCTTTGGAGGGTAACATCCCCCATCCTGATTATCCGCGACGAAAGGTATAATGTATGTTTTTTATGCTGCACTCTAATGAGTAAACTCTGATGTTATTACTTTAACTTTATTTATCTTGTTACTTATATATTGATATATGTTTTACTATAGAGGACACACTAAGTTGTGTAGCTCATTTTGTTTATGTTTTTCCTTTTCAGATTATCCAGTTATAGGACTAGTTTGGTTATCGGAGGTGTGGTCTCGATTGTATATTGTATGAGATTTAATATTTATTTTCAATCTCTTTAAATGTAGCATGTGTTTATTTCTGATAACTTTTTTGTAAATGTTTTTGAAATGATTTACTTTAACACATTTCATTCGTGAATCATTTATGTGATCAAAGTGGTTACCCTAATTTAGTTTTAACTCCTAAGCCATGTATAAGTGGTTACAAATTTGATCATGCAATCACACGATCCTTACAAATATAGAAAAGCCACTTGAACCAAATGTGACCCGAATGTTATTGTTGTGCTCTTGAGTTTAATATTAATTCAACTAGTCAAAAGAAGACTACCTGAAATCTCAAGAGAAACAAGATATCTTATGGTTTTTGATAAATTTTAACTTATATTTTATTAATCATAATAAATAGAGGCTGCATACCTTGTGAAAATAAAAGACCTACTAAAGCAAGCAATCCCTTGCTACTAAATAAGATCTTAATAGTAATAAACTTTCAATGAATCAATATTAAACTAACTCCTACTAAAATACCAATAAATTGATAAACTAATAATAATTAAATAAGTAACACGAACAAAAATATTGGCTACAAAAATAACTGTAACAATTATGGAAACCAATTATAGACATCAGTGACCTCGCCTTCCTACACGGGTTTTGATGTGCTGAGTAGTTTACTTCTAAAGCACTCCATCAAGAGAATTGACCTCCAGATGAATGTGGGGCAAATATGGATTATTAATATTTAAAATTTTAATAAATACAACAATCTACATTATATTTATATTTACATAATGACAAGAAAAGAATATGACACTCATCGTAATCATTGGATTGACAAATTCTTAATAATAATTGATGTATCATATTCCATTTAACTGTTTATCAAATCATCGATATAATGCCACGATGAAAAGCGGCTAAAATCAGGTTAACATTAACAAAGAATACATTTGATAATTCATGTCCTCCCAGATTGTCAGGGAAGGAAACAACTTAAATATTATATGAATTGCACTATACGTCCACAGATCAGATATCTCACGGCTACTCAACTAAAGAAGGCGTGAGAGAGTGCTATTATTAGTATTCACAAGGAAGAAATATGTATTTGGGTCTTATTCAATTGCTATGATGACCAATACGGACAGATAGGTTCTCACAAGCTATAGTACTGAGTTATTAATAATTATTACTTAGCTGTTGGATTATCATCTGAACCATTGGAAATGCTATCATCAGAAGATCCTTTCCCTGTTGGGAGGTAAGACCAGGCCAAGACCACTGTCCCGAGGGTGATTGCGGTGGCAACCGAACCCCAGACCCATCTCTGCCTTCTTTTCTTCCTTTGTCTGTCACGCCGTGCCATCTCTGTACGAAATGGTAAATTCTGAGTCTTGCAAATATCATGCAGCATATGTAAACATGTAAACTACATGTTCTACTGAGGAAAGAAAAATAATGGGGTACAAAATCCTCACCTATTGCCTCTTGGTTCCTCTGAGACATTTCACGATTCATGGTCTCATAGTAGTGCAGACGGTCCAACAATCGAGCAATTTCGAAGTTCTTTGATTCGATTTGAGCTTCCATCTCCATCTCCATCTCTGCCCTTGTGATGCCTCTTCCCACAGATAATGATACAAATCGTGCAGCACACAGTTGCTGTCTCAATTCTTCAGCTTGATTCACAAGTTCATCCTCTGTCGCATTAAGAAGATCCACATGCAATGACAATCCCACGTCACCCAACTCTTGGCTGATTCTTCGCCACTTAGATTGCATCTTATTTAGAGCCTCTTCTGTCTGCTTCCTCTTTTCTAACTCTGTAAGTAAACTCAATCTTATTTCCCAAAGTTCAGCTTCAATGTCACGATGAATAGTCTGTGGTGCACTCCCACAGGATAATTCTAGAAGAAACAAGAAATCTAAGTAAGCTGGCCATAACAACAACAAAGTCATTACATTAGGCAGAAACTGTGGGGAGGAAATTTTTCATATTTCTCAATAATTTCACCTATTCCATACCTATAAATATGCATGCATGGACCTATTAAATAAACAAGAAAGCTAGCACAAAAACATTCGTATCATGACCCAAGTAAATACATATCAGGTTTTAAAAACAGAAGACAGTCCTGCAAGAAAAGATTAATATATGTGTGCGTGTGCATCTGCATATTAATGTCATATACGGGTGAAAACAACATACCATCCCATGCATCAAAAAATTCTACCCCTGATGTAGCAATCCTTGCAGCACTTTCAGCCCCAGTATCATCTCCTACCTCAGTATTACTTGTGACACTCATCGATTCATTTGGATCAAAGAAATCTTCACTGTCGCTACTTATGTCCAAGTTCAACGGTCCAACCTTCAGCACAGCATTTGTGTACACCTCCTGAATGTAACCGCCATGGACACCATTTTCGGGCTCTATGTTCATAGGACAAATACAGGGGGCACCATTCTCATGTTCCTCTTCATTAGGTTCAGAAATGCTAAAAGCAACAAAACCATCCTTACGTTCATCAACAGGTTTGCTTTCTTCCAACTTTGCTTTCCCATTAATCTCATCTTCTTCTAGGATTTTTTCCAGAGATGATACATTAGCCTCAGAAAAGCTCTTTGAAAGGCGAGGCCCACGACGCTTGTGATTGATGATGTAAGGAGAAGGACAGAAAGAAGATGGTGAATCAGGTAGTGGGGTTGCCTCAGGAGTAGCATAGAGGGAAGGTGACATTTGGGGGCGGTTAACCTTCCTTTTTACTGATGTACTGCTGCCCCTCTCCATCTTAGAGTTAGTACTAGGCTTTGGGTGGATAGGTGGTTTTAAAGTAGAACTGGAGTTCTCGACAGGTCTGGAGGCTCCAGGTTCTAACAGCCTATCAAAAGCTATAGCAGTAAATGTTGCCATGGCTCTGCATGATCAAAAAAAAAAAGTTAAAGTTACTAAACTACGTCATTTTCTTACGAGAAGGCCCTCAAGGAAAGGCAACAAAGAAAATCCCATCGTTGCTGAAACATTCTACTTTTCATGAACTTGAGGCAATTCAACCAATTAAGCTTAAAGTTGTTACCTTTAGTTGTAACAACTAATTAGCCATAACTTTTCTATGATAGAAAGGAATATTACCAACACATTAACTCTTCTAAATACTTGCAAAGGCAACAAAGCAAATCTCTTAGTTGCTACATGTGAAAACATTCTACTTTCCATGAACTTGAGAAAAATCAATCAATTAAGCTTAAAGTTGTTAACTTTTAGTCGTAAGAACCAAGTAGCCACAACTTTTGAGTGATAACAAGGAAAACAATGGATAATTTAAACTTCAAATATTAATACTTGTATGGGAAGCGAACAAAATCTCATTGTTGCAACATTGAGAACATTTTACTCTAATGAACTTGAGAAAATTCAATCAATTATGCTTAAAGCTGTTAACTTTTAGTAGTAACAAATAAGCCACAACTTGTGTATTATCAAGGAAAAAAATGGATAATCTAAAATTCAAACATAAATACCGGTAAATAGTTTGCTCATTTTGAATCAGAAATTTCATAGCTAAATAAATCATCTAAAAAAACTAGACAATTGAAAAAGTGAATAAAAAAATCATGTTAGACACAGCTAAATTAAAACTCATGAGAATTCATCTTCATTTAACAGCAGCCATACGGAACAGAAAACAAAAGAAAAACAGAGATTTTTTTAACGTACAAATACACTTCTATGTTAATTAATTCAAAACAGAAAGGAAAATCATAGAAGAAAAAGGATTTGAAAAAAAATACAATATACTTCATTGTTTAAAAAGAATTTACTAACCGATTAATTAAACGAGCACCAACACGAAATTAAAAAGGAAAAAATTCATTTAAATATTTTTCTATTTATTTTTACATAAAAACCTTGAACGATTCAAAACTACATATTTCTTTTCAAAGCTCCGTTTAGAAGATGAGAAAAGCAACGCATCCACAACAATACAGAGCTAAGAGCAGCTAATTCAAAAACTGGAGAAACCATTTCAAAATTATTAAAAAACTAAACATAAATAAAATTGGCTTTCATGTATACCAAAAAAGAAAGGAAACGCATTACCTTAAACTCTGATAAAGAGATAATCCTTCTAGAAGTTACGACGAGGCGTGAGCAGCGGCGATAGTGATGGAGAAGGTGCAGACGGTGGCGCCTCGAGAGAGAATCCGTTAAGGAAAATGAAGATTAAATATCACCTCCATTTCCTTCCTCAAATATTTGGAACGTTTGCTATTCCTGGGCCGTAGCTGCGAATTGCTGAATTGCCGAATTTAACCTTGATTATAGAGGAATAGAGGATCAGTTCGGAAGGGATAGTCTCGGAATTTGATATATATGTCTGTTCAAATCCTTACCCCTCCAAAGTGTTCGGAAGATGGAGGGATGTCGACCTGTCGTTCTGTGAAGTAACACGATGTCGTTTACCAGCAAGCGTGAACCGCATTTCTTGTAATAAATATTTGATTTTCTATTAAATTTAATGCTCCTTCAATATCGTAATTTGTGTCTCATATTAATTATGCATGTAATTTTAAGTGATATATTTAATCAAGAAAAATGATAAAATAATTCTTAAAAAATAATTGATAAATTTAACAAATTATTTTGATAATTTTTGAATAAAATATAAGTATTGTTGTTTGTTGAGTTTTTGAATGAGACATTTTAAATGAGACAATTTTAAAAAACAAAAGAGACATAATTAATGAGACATGAATTTGTTTCTCATTTATTTTAGTATATGCATATTTATGTTTATTTTTTTGTAATTTTTAAATTGTTTATAATTCTGCATTTATGACATATTCTTTTTCTCTTTATGACGCTTTTTTTTGCCTTCATGGCATGTTTTCGATCATTTGATTGTTTTTTAGGGTCGAATTTGATGTCATCTCGATTGATCAAGATGACGTTTATTAGTTATCTTGTTGATCTTTCTTGCTTTGGACCATCGGATTGGACTTGGATACGCGATTTACTTTCGTAGATAATTTTCTCACGACGCTCGATTCTGATTTGTTATTCTTGGTGGTCTTTCAGTAGTTTTATCACTTGTTGTGGTTTGTTTGTCAATGCGGTCAGATTTATTCGTATATGTCTTTTGTTCGAGTTTTTTTGGATGAGTTTTAATTTTTTCATTGTATGGTCTTTAAATGATCTGGAGTACCTAGTTTATTGTATCAATGATTATAGGAAAATATTCTAAGTTTAGTTTTCAAACTTCATTGTAATTTTGAATATTTTCTCTTTTTAATAAAATTTGCTGCTTTATCTGCGTCAAAAATATAAAAACAAGTGTCCTCTAAACTATACCCAAAATTAACTTTATGTGCATAAAGAATTTTTTGTTAAAAATAGACGTCCAACGTTTTCTTCGTTAGGCTTTTAAATGTAACATTTTTATGTTATATTTTTAGGTGTTTGGACTGTAACGACCGCTAAAAAACTTAATATTTCTTAAATATATATATATATATATATATATATATATATATATATATATATATATATATATAAAGTTCTAATTTCAATCCCTTACCAGCATCGGTCGCTACCAACGTTATCAATTAACTAAAACCCCAATGACATATGACTTCCTAAACCCTAATGCTTCACGCGATTATTGCAACAAAAATTGATGATTGCAATGTGGAGAACCCCTTTCAACCGATTGCAAAATCTTGTATTTACATGAACGTCGGTGTTCAACTAAAATGGGATTTTGGCCATTGGGTGGTTTTTCGGTCGAGCAATGTTGGGTGTTCGGTCGATTGAAAACATTGGTGGCGATCGATAATGCTAAAGGATTAAAATTAGGGTTTTAAAGATATTGTATTTTTTTGGCAATTTTATAACATTTTGAGTTTTAAAAAAAAATAAATTACAATTTTAATTTTTTTAATTTAAACAAAAAATTTAAAATTTTATAAACTTGACATGTGTCACTTAACGACTGAATTTAACAGTTTTACAGTCCAAGCACCTAAGAGTGTAACACCATGATTTCTGGGTTAGAAGTCTAGGGTAAACTCGGGTGAGTTTTATTTAGATTAAGGAACCATTTAAAAGTGTTGGGTTAATATTTGGCTAGTTTTAGTTGGGCTTGAGCCCATTAGGGCATAAAAAGGGTATTCTTGAATTGGGCATGAAAGATGGAGGAATATGAGAGCAAATAACCCCTAAATTGATTCAAAGGTTGATTTTAATTAAGAATGATGATGTCAACCAGCAGAAAACTCTTATCCCTCTTTTTCTTCATTTTTGTCTTCTCTTCTTTCTCTCTTATTTCAAACTCTATTTCTTATTCCTCCTAAAAGCTTAGACAAATGTGAAAGCTTTCTGAGTTTACATTTCCTTATTGGAAGTCTCAAGGTAGATTTTGGGTTTTAGGGTTATTTAGTGTTCCCAATCTGTTTCTAGAGATTAAGAGTCAAGTTTCTAACTTTTTTAAGCCCCTAGATGAGTTGGTAACTCGTTTCATTACTTTTGATTAGTGAAAGAGGTGGGGGAAAGCTCCAAGGGCAAAGGTAAGGAGAAGTTTGTTCTTAGGTGAACTCAAGGTGTTAAATTGCAACTTAGGACTAAGGTAACACACTTATGACTCCCTTATACTATATATAGGTCATTCTTGTACTTGCTTACACTTAGGTGAACTCAAGCATGTTATGTAAAATTTGTATGATCATGGCTTTAAACGTTTTTAGGGTGAATGAAGCATGTTAAATGGCATATTATGAACCATGTAACTACTATAAGCTTCACATAACGTTTAATAACCTTAGAAGGGTAAATGGTTGGGTTGGGGATTGTATTTTCATAGAAAACAGGGGTTTTTTGGGCTTGTGTATTGGTACTGGATGAACAATACCGATATTGTTCTTCGTGCAGCTTAAAAAAAGGTGTTTTGAGCTAAAAGTATCGATACCCATACATGTGGTATCGATATTATCCTACGAGTATCGATACTTTGGGTTTAGTATCGATACAGATATAGTCAGTCAGATTCCAATAGCCATTTTGGTATCGATACTTATGAGAGTATCGATACTATAGGTAGAGTATCAATATCAAGGATATTTTCCAAAACATCGAACTCATTTTTGGTATCGGTACTTGGGGTAGTATCGATACCCTCCTATCAAGTTATTGATACTTTAGGTAAAAGTATCGATACTGAGTATTTTTTTCAAAACATCAAAACCATTTTTGGTATCAATACTCGGGATAGTATAGATACCCTAAGGTTAGTATCGATACTGAATGACCAGTATCGGTACCATCGTCAGTGTTTGGGTAGGAAACCTAGTTAAATGCCAAAGGGTTCGGGAAGGGAGTTAAGGGTCGTTAGGACTTCCCTAATAAGACTAAAAGCGATAACCACTAATAACCTCCAATATCATGATAACAACATAAATTAAGATGGCATAACACTAGCCTTTGTTTGAATTTTGGGAAACAATTATGACACCTGAACTTCCTTAGATGTATGACGATTGTCTTGTGTGATTAGACATTCTGATGTGCTAAGTTAGTGCTTTTGCACTTTAAATGCTAGTTGGACGTAGGCTCCGATGCTAGGTGACCCCGGAGGTGTCCTAAGTGCTTTGAGGAGTAGATTACAAGGATAAGGCTTTGATGCTAATATGACCCCATAGGTGTCTCAAGTGCTCTGTTGTGTGTTGGATTAATTGCATGTCTATGCTTATACTTGTTCGCATGCCCATGTGATGAATGCATGTAGTATATTAGAGTTATTTTTGTAGAACTGAGCTTGTGAGCTTAGCATTCCGAATGTTGCTTCCGTTTGCAGGTTGGTAGGAGGACAGATCGAGGAACTATCGCTAATTGTGACTTCCAACTTGGATCGTTCTTATCAACGTACATCTCAGATACTTATTAGTTGGCATGTACTTAACAGAGACTTTATATGTATTTGAGTCGTAAACTCTAATTATTAAACTTATGCATATTGAATTTAATGATGGAACTCCTATTTTGTAAACATTATATTTGAATACTTAAGATCATAATTATTTTATGGGAATTTTGAATGTCATTTTAAAAGAAATTTTTAAGTTAACCACTTTGGTGGTCCCGTGTGATGTTCTAATATGTCGATCTTCTGGTTGGACCGAATTATGACGTTACAAAGAGCGTAACATTGGAAACATCATACACTTATTTTTCATGAAAACATTCTTTTGGCACCGAAAATTAACTTTAAGTATAGTTTGGACATTTATTTTGGCATTAAGCCTTGTTTATAACTTTATATGATGAACTATTTGTATGATCACTTAATTATTATTTTTTGCATGAACCAAGCGATCACAGTGGTTAAGGGATTTTTCATTATCCTTTGAGGTCTCAAGTTTGAGCACCGCATATACCAGGACTATGAGTATTCATTGTCAAATGGTTGAGAATCTTTGAATATATACTACTTTTTATGAACAACATATTTAAAAAAAATTACTTTGATCATTAATTCTAAAATTTTCTTAATCATGTCGTCTAATAATTTAAGTTTTGCAATTAAGTTACTAACAATTAAATTTTAACGGATAAGTGACATGGTTATTAAAAACTAGTATAATTATACATTTGGTTCTTAATACTTACATATTTTATCAATTTAATTAATTTAATTAAATAAATTTAATGTATAACATGTTCCATTACATGATTAAAGAATAATTTTTAATTTTAATTTATTTAATTTAAGGGTAAAATACACAAATGGTCCCTCAACTATAAGATACTACTTATTAAGTCTTTCGACTATTAAAAGTTATAAAATGATCCTTTGACTATAGAGTGTTATTTTGTTAAATCCCTCAACTGTTAAAAGTTACAAAGTGGTCACTCGACTTGTAACACCCTAATCCAGTCAGACCGGAAGATCTATAGATTACGACGTCAACCGAAACTATCGAATTTGTCACCCAAATTTTTTTTTAAACCATTTATAAAGCAAAAAATATCATTCATCATAATGTAAATAAAGATTCATGATTCAAGTATACAAAATACGGGAGTATCCCAAATAGTACAAATACAGTCACTGAATTTATAAACCAAAATAGAGTTATGACTCGAACAATTACAAGGTCCACATAAGTACATTCCCTCTAGAAGACTCAAGACATACTCTGAAATGGCTGATATGGAATGTATCAGTATGATAGTCTCCTCATCGATC